ACCGAAGCCCAAGCTTTCCTTCAACCTGGTTCTCCATTCGGCTTTGTAGCGTTCAATGTGCGCATGCTGATGCAGATGGGACGACAAGCATGTCTGCCCGCACTCTTGAGACACTCGGTGGATATGTTGCCTTTCCGAAACCGGGCTGCAAGACGCCAGTACCGTCACCAAAACGACCTCTCCGGCAAACCACTTGCGCCTTTCCGGAGACCCAGAGGCCGCCGCTTCTGGTCAAGCTGGTGTTGAGGTGGCACCCAGTGACAGGGCTGACGCCGCCTTGCTTGTCTGGATCCCAGTCAACAATCGGCTATGTGCAGTCAGACTACGGGGTTCATGCAAGTTATGTAAGCGTCGAGATGTTCCGCGTGCCTTGTTTGTCATCTCCGCCTACGCTCCTGCAGACTGCAGCCCGGATGCAGTCAAGGATTGCTTTTACCAACAGCTACATGACCTGCTTTCCTCAAAAAAGTTTGCCATTGTCATTCTTGCCGGAGATTTTAATGCACGAGTGGGCCGCCTGCCACCAAGCGAGCGCCATCTTAAGGGTAGTTTTGGCCTCGGTAGCAATGGATCAGATGGTGAAGACAGCCTACTGATCCGTTGTTCTTATCATCGCTTGTTTCTTTCAAGCACCAGTTTTCGGCATTCGAAAAGGCAGACTGTTAGATGGCGTCCGCTTGCTAAAACGCAACAGTGGTCCAAACTTGACACACAGCAATAAACCACAGATGGCTCGGAAACGTAACAGACTGCCGATCGTACTGGTCAACCTGTCTGGACTCCGATCACGCACTGGTTCGCGCCAAGATCTGCATGCGTTTCGGAGGATCACCCAGCGGTACGCGCTACCGACTGAACGTCGAAAATCTGCAACATCCTGCGACGTTAGCCAAGTAGCAAACTTCTCTATCAACACTGCTTGATTTATTATCTGACGATGATCTGAATTCTCAATAGATGCGAAGCAAAGACGCTTTAATTTTTACCAGTACTGTCAGTTGTGGAGCTGTTTATCACCCGCCGAAAAGCTGGATCACCAATGTCTCCCTGTCGCTGATAGACAGACGCCGCTTGATCCAAGCAGAAAACAGCTGTAGTGAGGAACGCCGATCCCTAGATCGAGCGTTGTCAAGGAGCTTACAGAAGGATCGTGAGACCTGGTGGTGTGAACGTGCTAGAGAGATGGAACCTGCTAATCACTCTGGTAATACCAGAAAAATGTTCCACTTCATCCGAGTCACCGAAGGATTCCGATCTGGAGTAAGCGAAACAACTTGCGGAGAGGATGGCTCCCTAATCACTAATCTTTAACGACGGTTGGAGCGATGGGCTGAACATTTTCGCTCGCAGTTTTCCTGGCCACCAGCTCCAACTGTTTCCCCTGGGGCGCGCACGGGTGCGGAGTGGACTATCCCCACTGATCCTCCATCTCGTCGGGAAATCTGGTTGGATCTCTGCTGCCTAAAGCGTTATAAGACACCCGGCCCTGATGGTCTATCTCCTGCTGCATTTAAAGATAGGACCATTCCCCGGTTCGAGAACTCACTGCTTTGTTCTTAGAAGGCTGGGAAAAAGAGGAAGTTCCATCATCATGGAGTGAGTCGATAGTAGTCCCCACCTTCAAAAACGGCCTGAGTACAACTTGCTACAATTACAGGGGGCACAAGTTTGGTTCCCGTCGTTTGCAAGATCCCGGTGTCCATCCTTCTTCGCAGGCTATCCCCGACGCGTGAATCGCTAAAGCAAGAAGAACAGGCTGGGTCCCACCCTGGTCGCGGCTGCATCGATCAGATTTTCGCACTCTGTCAGATTCCCGAGCTCCGCCATGTGTATCAAAAGCCAACGATTGTTGTGTTCCTGGATATCCATGCCGTCTTCAATTCTGTAGACAGGGCTGTATTGTGATAGTGTCTGTTGAGGAATGGTATTCCCGGGAAGTTCGTTTCCGTACTGCGTGCGCTGTATAGTCTGACCTCGCGTAGTTAAGGCTTATCACAAGCTTTCGCCTTCCTTTGTTGTCACCAGTAAGGTTCGACAAGGATGCCCTATCCATTCCTCTTTAACTGCCATCAAGGATGGCCTCAAAAATGCACTAGCATCCTTTTGGAACATCCGCTGGAAGTTGCTGACATTGATTTACCTCGAAAGTTCTTAGTATTGACGATTTGATGCATAATATGTCCTTGTGCTTCTCCAACGATAGAGTAGTGTTTGCTAACCTTAATCATATGTGGCGTGGTTGTGACCTCAGTCTCGCTCTGAAGGACCGAGTCTACAATGCTGTGGACGAGCGGTCCTGACGTATGGCTGCAAGACTTGGCCCGTTCACAGGAGTGATGTTCAGAGGGGTTATTTCTCAATCATTGCTACCTTCGTAGTAATACTGGTGTTTCGGAGGCAGCATCACATCAATAATGAAATCATTCGTCGGCGAGTCTTCCAATCTGATAAACTAGCAAACCGCTTGACAGTATTATTTCACTGTGGAGGCTTCGCTGGCCTGAGCACGTGAGTCGCATGCCAACCCAGCGGCTGCCATGACGTGATCTCCTTGCGAGCACAGGCGTAGTGCGGAAGCGACAACAAGAAGGCCAGTATAAAACATGGATCCAAGGCGTTAAGACGCAAACGTCGAAGTTAGTTATTGTTGGGCGCACCCAGACTGAGGACCAAAGGATCGCGAGCACACCTGGTTACAAACTTTACTGGATCTGGCCAATGACCGTACGCAATGGCGCACTTGCTGTGAGACTCTCCTCTAAATTTCGTTTTCCATTTCAATCAACTGTTATATGCCCCATGTGTTGCGGTAACCAGGTAGTCGAATTGTAATTAGCAGTATTGAATATATATATATATATATATATATATATATATATATAGCGCGGCCGTTCATTTGGAAACAAGTCAACTACTCCAGAACTTTGGCAATATTATTGCGGAGGGCATAATAAGGTGCCAACGACGTAAATTAGCCAGTCGGGGCCAGCTGGGATACTTGCAACAGCCGACTGTATCACTAGCATAAAATAGTACAAAACGAGTGGTGGGGGTGTAAGATTTTACGTAGGCCATTGCATCCAGATGATGAATGAAATCATCCCAACTGAGAATGCGAGCATTAAGTGGCTATGCGTTTGCAAGGCATAGGATCTGGAAATGAGTCCGTGGCTAAACGAATTTCTGTTAATCTTCCCAAAGAACATGGTGGAACCTAAATGATAAGTAAGTGAGTCTAGTCCATTGGCAATCTACCGTATCCGTTCATGGGACAATCAATTAGACAAGAAGAGTCAAACGCGTTTACGCCATATGAAAGTAATACGAGTGTCCATTCTCAAATAACTGCATTTTTAAAATCCCCATCGTCATTCTCTTGATCTAACTGGTACGCGTCAGTAACAAGATGCAGTGGCTTGTTCGATTGAATACGAAAAGCATTGAACTAAACGCTCGGTAAGTCACTGCATGATCTAAGCTCCACTAGGTGTGCTTAGTATACATCGAGATACGCATATGTTCTTCTAGCACACGTCGTACGCGCGATTTCAAAGCGCTGTAATGACCTTGAATTGTAGCCACACCGCTGAAATTGGCAACGGGTGATGCGTGATTGGACAATGGGAATTAGTTAGTTCAGAATACGCCTATAGTTCCCATCAACGTGACTCTCGGTCGTGGTCTTTTTGGTTTACACTGAAAGCGGGATCGATGGATGATGCAGCATTGGCCAAGGACATTTTGCTAGTTTAGACATTCTTTGAACTTTAGATAGCATAATGACAAGCAGAGCAGGAGGTAGATGTGGCAAACCAAATTGCTAAGGTAATGGGTAATTCACTTATCCAACTGAGAATATACGGGAAGAACTAAGTGAATCAAGATGTCATCTATGGTTAACTCAATGGACCGCTACTGTAGATCGTGTTTCAGCGAGTTGGCAGATGATGTGTTGAGGGAGAGTGATGTTGATAGCTTGACAGCAAACATTGTTCTGATGAGTAGTAGTGAGGATTTTGGTATAATTCAGATAATTCATCATTGTCACTCCTAATCAGCAGGCTTAGGCTAGTCTGGAAAAGCACCAGACGCCGGCGTTTCGACGTTCTGGGTCTCGTCAGTGGTGCGCCTCCCTGCCGGGTTCCGCCCCTATGACTTCAGGATGTCAACAGCTAGTGACACTTCGCCATGGGTGACAGCCGCGGACCTGCGTGATTGACAGTTGACTATGATATAGCCCGGCTCATCTTCCACTGCCATGCCAGTTACGAACTGTGTAGAGGACAATGGCTAGCCTCACGAGCTAGGACTTTCCGCATAGCGCCTATGTACCACATAGGACTTAGAAGCTATACGGACAGATTTTATAGTACTGATGAGTAGTAGTGAGGATTTTGGTATAATTCAGCTAATTCATCATCGTCACTCCCAATCAGCAGGCTTAGGCTAGTCTGGAAAAGCACCAGACGCCGGCGTTTCGACCTTCTGGGTCTCGTCAGTGGTGCGCCTCCCAGCGGACCCCTGCCGGGTTCCGCCCCCATAACTTCAAGATGCCAGCAGCTAGTGCGACTTCGCTTCTAAGTCCTATGTGATACATAGACGCTATGCGGAAAGTCCTAGCTCGTGAGGCTAGCCATTGTCCTCTGCACAGTTCGTAACTGGCATGGCAGTGGAAGATGAGCCGGGCTATATCATAGTCAACCGTCAATCACGCAGGTCCGCGGCTGTCACCCATGGCGAAGTGGCACTAGCTGCTGGCATCCTGAAGTTATAGGGGCGGAACCCGGCAGGGAGGCGCACCACTGACGAGACCCAGAAGGTCAAAACGCCGGCGTCGGGTGCTTTTCCAGACTAGCTTAAGCCTGCTGATTGGGAGTGACAATGGCGAATTAGCTGAAACATTGTTCTACCTAGTGAATCCCACTGTGTCAGAACCAACAATGGTCAGAGAGAGAGAGAGAGAGAGAGAGAGAGAGGGAGAGAGAGGGAGAGAGAGAGAGGGAGGAGAGACGTAGCTGCATTGGATCAATTGACCGAAGCTGGGACTAAATCTTAGAATGATCATGCCATAACCGGTGTGCATAACAAGTGAATGTCAGTTACGATTTATGGGAGGTTTTGACGGGATAACAAATAGACACGAAATAATAGAGATAAGTACGCAATAGGGCAGATGGACAATGAAAGCACTGCAGGCTACTTGAGAGAATGGAGGGTGAACAATAAGGGGGGAAGCTGTATCCATAATGGTACAAAGGCATAAAAGCAAAAGTTGGGCAAACTCGTATAAATCAGTCATCGAAAACCGATTGAAATGCAGTTTATATGAAGTATAGATGTATAAGATGTATTGCAGTCCTAGCAAGCTGACGCATAAAGAGGCAAAAAAGTGGGACGAGTTGCTGGATTGTGAATCAGCACGGTCGCATCACCAGTTCAGACGTCTGAATTGCTACCATTTTGTACCGGTCGCTTGCCTGTTGCTTGTGCAGAGCGGTATTCGGCACCAGCATAACGTCGCCTTCGGAATGGCCATATTAGTCGTGCGAGTACTAGTATGGCGCCGATGGCAAGCACAGTGATTAAAACGGAAGAAACGATGAGCCATGTATCGACTGTTTTTTGTTCCGTTTCGTACAAACTAAAAGAGACGTGAACAAGGTACGCAAAATAGATAAGACAAGAAACCCAGTATAGTAAAGCTGGGGATTAAATCAGGCAGAAGTTAGGCATAAGGAAGTCGAAACCCGGCAAAGGGTTGCATCCCAACCCACACACAAACACACAAAGTGATGAACAATGCACATGTTAAAAGTGCTCGGCTATCGTTCGATGTACTCCTTGAATTCATAATGATACATATTTCGATCCAACTGAACTTAACCTCTCTAAATGCAAGGTAAGTACGAATAAGATAAAAACTAGACGAATTGTGCCACAGGGGGGATATGTAATGCATAAAATGTAGGTAGAAGGCGCTCAAGCGATGTGAATAAAGCTTCAAATGCCTGCACTAATAGTTATGCTAGTGACGGGCTAGAACAGTCGGATGACAAAAGGCTTCGCAATTCAAAATTAATAGGACAAACACTACCATTGACTCAAAATTGAGCACAACCTTACAAAGCAGTGTGTTGACGGAATTTCTCTGGTGGTCGAAATGTGTGGGACTGAACGACTTCCACCGGCACATTTCGCCAATGTGCATGCCGCAATCTGACCACAAAACCAGTTGCCGGGGTACAGGAGAAAGCATTAGTGCATACGGAGAAGAAGCGGCAGATACGGAAGTGACAAGCGACGATGGGTTGTATTCCATCGACGTCGAGCGCATAGGGCTGTAGCATATGCGGTCGCGAGTGCCCGAGTCAAGCAGGTGTAGTGCGCCACGAGCGAGGCCACTCGGAACCAGAATAAATAGGACGACGTGTGCTGATGAGAATGTAAGCGGAACAAGTAAAGCGTTTGTGGGTACGCTGCATTCGATTTACTAACCGCGTGCTTGGGTGCTGAATCTCTTTATTTCAGGTGGTTGGTTTGCTATTTCGCCTTAATGTTTTTTTAACTCAATTTAACATTCATCTGAATAATCCATCAATTTGCACACGTCGCTTAACCTAATCGTGGTTAACTTCCTTAACTGTTTCGCGTTCGTGGCATTCTTCGATTTCTTTCTAACTTTTCGTACTTTTCGCCGACTTGTTGATAAGTAACTTACTTCATATGCTAGTTTAAGGAAGAGTTATGTCTTAATAGCCGTATACTTTAACAGATGTACTTTTTTGATAATTTTATTTCAAGTGATGGCTGTTGCTTGATATCCCCGGTGTGGCTGCGCTAGATGTGCATGTCGACAAGGTGCCTACCTGCCTATTACCCACTACCTCGTCCATACTGGCTCCAGGAGACAGTTGGTCATTGCTGGAGGGGAGGGGTGCACGGTGCTTGTGGCCGTGCTAGGCTCGAAGGTGGTTCTATGCACTCAGTTTGGAGCGGACCACAATCCAGCCAACGCCTTGTGTGCGCTTGATTCCCCAAATACAGCGTGCTTGTGTTTGCCTGTGAAGGAGCGTGGACCGGCTCCGTTGATGAAACGTCACTCCCATCCACCCTGCTTACCGCTCTTAGTATTTGAGTTTTACAGTGGATATGGGGTGTGTGGATGGAGTTGTGGGTGGTACAGCGCAAACCACCCATGGTCCATTTGTAGGCGCTGGTGTGCTGTGGCTGGCCACAGTGACAGGCAAATCCGAAACGGGATGCTGCCAACCATATATATATATATATATATATATATAATGGTCTGCTATAGTTCACCATGAATTTTGCGCAAGCCGCAAGTGGTCAGGGATTTAGATCTTGATGGAGCCGGAGGATGCGCACTGCTGATAAGCCTCAGTAGGATGAAACAGCCGTCAGACTATCTGAATTGTGAGCGGTCTGGAGGAATCAATAAAAAAACCTTAGGCGTCGTCTGTCAGGCTGGCCTGTTCCGTATAAGGGGGTACATGTGTGAAGCAGCAGTACAGTTCACCTCACCACAATGGAAAGTTTGCAGTGACGCACATTTAGCTACGATTGATTTCCTCCCGTGGCTGTTAAAATTGTCACTGAAGGTGTGGAAGCCAAGCGGAAGACTTGAATTAGAAGGGTGCGTCGTTTGGCCGTGGGGCAGATGGGTCACTCATTGCGTAAGTTCACCGCCGTAGGCCTTAAACATTGAAATCGGTCGTGTTTATGTCAACGTGTGGCAATCAACAGACCAAGACAGTCATTCTCAAAGTGCCCAAGAAAAAACCTCGATGACAGGGTATTCAATCATGAATGAGAAGCTCTACTGTCTCAAAGACTGTAATGTTACACAGTCGGTCTCTTTCCTATCTAAGGGAACTGATATGGAAAATAAAGATGTATTCCTATGATCATGCAAAAATCTTTTAATAAATAACTGGAACATTTGCACACGAGGACTCGATGTGGCTGCGCTTATATTTCTGTTGATATATGGCATTAAAATGGAGAGAAACCATACGGCTCTATCAGATAAGGCCGGGAAAATCATCGATATCTGAATGATCAATCAAAAAGGCCGGGTGTGGGTTATAATTTCCTCTACCCAAATATCTTCAAATATAGCCTAACGAAGAAGACAAAACCGCAACCGGTCTATGCTACATGGAGTGGGTAACTAAGTGACATGTACTGCACATCTCCAAGTATCGCCCATTTAGGATAAACCCGAAGCCGACCAAGGCAGTATAGGCTAGAAATTGAGCCGGATAAATTCATGATCATTATATTTATAAGCCGCGAAGATGTGGTCCGATGGCCCAGAGACTCAGATGTGAAACGGATAGAAAATGACGAAAAATAACTCTAGATCTTCGCGTGAGTGGTATTTTACTGGAGAAAGTGACGAAGCAAGATGGAAGAAGTGCATGCTAGATTCATGAGACAGTGTCGACACATGGGGCACGTCAAAATCGGGGTTCACTGTGGAGATGGAGATCACTGGCAGACAACACACCGTTAGACATGTACACTGAGATTACCACGCCCAAATTTAGAGAACAAAATACAGCGAGTGCAAAAATGGATGAAGCAAGCCGTTAGGCGGGGAGGAACTAAAACGGTTATATGAAATCCGTTAGACAACAAGAGAGGGGTGGAGATAGCATGAAAGAGAATTATCAGATAGTGATATGGAAGCGGCTTCAGTCAATCAGCGAATGAGCTATCACAGGATGCGACAGCCGCAGCGGTCGGTCAAAATCTCATTCTTGTATAGTGCAAATGTAAAGTATTGAATGTGGGCAAAAGACAACAGAATCAGCGGCAGTGTGGCAGCATTTTGCACTGATGCTTCGCCACCATGAGTCATAAGCGTCATATTAATAAAGAGCACTGAGGTATATATATATATATATATATATATATATATATATATATATATATATATATATATATATATATATATATATATATATATATATATATATAAACAATCTGATTACAGACAAGATATCATCAGAACCATGGCGATAAAAGGAGAAAACAAAAACAAGGGAAGAAAACGAGTTATTTGGGGTTTACACATACCGTTTTGAGATTTTGTGTGTTTTCGGGTTTAATGTTCGATGAGACGTTAACCAGTAGATAATGCGGTTGAACACTGATGTCTGGTGCGCGCCATAACCTATATAGTTTCCAACCAGACAGCCCGAGTCGCGTGATTCCTATCTTGGAAGGCGGAGTGGTCCGACGGATGCCAAGCTTGAGGTTGTATTCCTCATGCTAATTCTCCACGTCATTGATTGTCCATCGGCACTTTTGCCAATCGCATCCAGGGAGTGCAAATAACGTTGGACAGGGAAGGCGATAGGCTGGTATGTGCAAGAGGTGGCCGAGCCAACGCATGCGGTGTCGGTGAATAACGGTTTGGAGGCATGGCCTGTTTGTTCCAAATACTCGCACTCGGATTTCGGCGTTACTCATGTGATACTGCCACAACATGCAAGCAAGTCTATACAGACAAACGTTATTCGAGAGGGTGGACCAAGTCTCACAAGAGTACAAGGGACCGCACGGATAGAGCCAATGTATACCCAGCCCTTAAGTTTGAGACTGACGTCGCGACGGCGCCATAAGTGTCCCAGTCTGATTAATGCAAGGCGGGACTTTGCGATCCGTTGTAAGATCTCATCTCCAATACAGCCGCCAGCTGTGATGCAACTCACTAGATATATGAAGCAGATGACTTCTTCCAGGATGTCATCAGCAACGGTGGGGGCAGGCACGGGTATCTGCTAATCCCGGAGTAGTATTTCGCATTTGCCTGAGGTTAAAATACAGGCCAGACTTAGACGCCTCCATCGTTAAGCAGTTCAGAGCGCCCCGGATGGTTTGTGGATCATCCTCAAGCAAAGCGATATCATCGGCGTAGTCCAAGTCCGCGACTCAGTCACCTAGGAGAAGGTCAACAATGCAGTTTTGAGGGTTTTTCAATGCTCGTTAAACGACATCTTCACTGTCAAAGTTGAAGAAGTAGGGTGAAATGGGACAACCCTATCGCACGCAGCTGGTGACAGCAAACGAAGTAGAAAGCGTGTCGCAAGCTCTCATTTTGCCGGACGTGTGACTGTAGAGATCCTTCAGGATGGTTACAAAATTGTCGGACACACCTTTCCTTAATAGTTCCACAACGCAAATCTATCTATTGAGCCAAATGCCGCTCGGATGCCAAAGAACACTACGATTGTTGGGCGTCACTGGACGTGACAGAGTTTAAGAAGTTGGCAGAATGTGAAAATGTGAGCGATGCAACCTCATCCTGGAAGGAAACCCTCCAGGGAAACGCCTTAGCCAGTCGCTGAAAACCTGCGGAGTAGGATGGAGACGGAAATCTTGGGCGCAACAGAGATCAAGGAAAGTCCGCGGTAATTAGCGTAATCTTCGCGAGAGCCTTTTGTGAATCGGGACGATGACCGATTCTCCACACGTAATTAAGGCAGTTTTGTCAGTGCAAGTGCTCGCGGACAATGATAGGATTTCGCTGACAGCCGCATTCCCACCATCTTTGAATAGAACCAGGGAGAGGCTGGCAGGTCCGGAAACTTTATGACGCTTCAAAGATTGGATTGCGCTTCGGACTTCTGTATCGAAAGAAGAGGCTGTGGCGATAAGCCAAGTACCATCTGAGGGAAACGGAGGTGTCACAGCGGGCTGTGCTGAGCAGTTGAATTGGAAAGCAAAGTGCTCTGCCTAGCGACCCAAGCGCCTGTGCAAGTTAGTGAGTTCCTGCCGTCCGACTCATAAATTGCCTGACTGACAGCGTGTGAACAGCAACCAGTGGTCTTGATGAGGTAAAAAAAACTGCGGAAGTTTCCAGACGATGCAGCGGTTTCTATCTCAGCGGCTCGTTTCGACCACCAGGATTCACGGTCGGAGCGGAGGCTTGACTACAGCTGTTGAGAGACAGACCGACGAAGTTCATTGTGCTCCGCACCGGCGGGCACAGTCGGTCGACGATCCAACAATTCAGAGGATCTTACCGAAAGCCAGCTTCTGATTGTGCAGAGAGTGAGTCCGCAGCTGTACAAGCCGGCGCACAGCACTACTTGTTGCAAAGTTGACCAGTGTTGATGGAAATCCAGAGCATGAGGGACAGCGAGATTTTCACGTAGCCTCTGTTGATACTACGTTTTCGCCGTCGGGTTTGCTTGGCCTTGAGTGAGCCACCGAAACGCATGCAAACTATCGCACACACTAATGCATGGTCGGTGTCAACGCAAGTTGACCAAAATGATCGGCAATCGCGTACGCTGCCGCGCCACTTGGCTGTGATCAATTTGTGACCATTGTTGAGTTGACGATGCAGGACGCCAGGTGACGAAAGCTCGTACTGGAGAGGGACAGTTAGTGGTCAGCACATAGATTGAGCAGTCTCCCTCCGTTGTCAGAGCGAACATCATCATGCCCATGCGGTCCACCGAGGTGGCGTTCACATGGTAGCAGCCGATCAGTACGTGCGCTTAATTCTCTTGCCATAACAATGATGTCTGTTTTAGGCACCCTTAGGAGCAGATCATGAAGCTGTTGACAGAATTGATCTTTGACCGCATCCGAGCTGCAGTCAGCGGGGGCGTAGGTGGAGATCACGAAAAGAGCACATCAGTCTGCTCGGTGCCTGCTAACCTTGCAAGAGTGACAGAGCCTCATAGCGTATAGACGACTGTTGACCGGAATCCAATCAAGGAGGGCGGCCTCGGCTCTAGCACTGAAAGCGATTCCAACACCAGCTTACCCAGATGCGGCGGACTCAGTCACCAAAAAGGCGAAGATAAAAGCGGATGTGTTGTTGAATTGGTGACGACAACGGGCAGACTGTGTTGTAATCCTGGAGTCGAGTTTCACTCAGGAAGCAGACATCAATTGCAAGCGTCTCCAGCGTACGTGCAAGTTCAGCTTGCTGTCTGATCTGCAATAATGTGCGCATGTCGGAGATTATTAGTTTGAGCTACACTCCAAGCTGCAGTAGCGAAGATGGCAGACTTCGGGGCTGACCAATAGACGATTGTCAGTGCGTCACAACACATGGGTAGCGGCCAGAAAACAAAGGAGGATAGAAAAGGAAGTCAGGGGAAGTGTGTCACAACACGGTCGACACTGGGTAAAATTTCGCGTTTCCAACTAGGTGTGCTCACTGCATTTGTGCCCTCAACCAGCGAGCCTAGAACGATGTCAGCGGCTTCATACCCCGGAAGTGCTATCTCCATCTAATGAATAGTGAAAATAGAGAGCGATAAGATAAATCTGGGTTGCTCCATCGTAGGTGGGTTGGGCACATGCGCGGAATCACGTCGCTGATTTCCGTGGGGTAGAAGCATATTGCAGCTGCACTACATCTTACCCAGGTGTGATACGCTCCCTATACCTGTAACCGCAAAGTGGGCGCCAAGAAAACTCTTAAATTCCGACACCGAGTTCGCCTAGACTAGCGCCTCCAGCAAGTTGTTCCAATATTCCCCCCTCGACGCTCGAAACATAGAGGATGAGCGTTGCGATTTAAATCCGGTACCACTAGTTTGTACCGGTGTCCGCGTGTGTTGCTTGCTGCACGAACATGCAGCAGCGGTTTTAATGTTGGGAAGTGGCCCAATTGTAGTGTCCGGTGTGCCATTATGAGATCAACTCGTAGCTGACGATATGAAAGGGTATAGAGCCATAGTCTCCTACATTGGTCCTCGTAGGACATACCCCGTAAACTGGGGATGAGTCGGGTAGGTACACGCTGCACCCGTTACAGTCTCTGCACCTCACCTAATGTGATCGGACAATAGACAGGTGAGCCGTACTCAAGCACCGGTCTTATCATGGAAGAGAACAGACAGGTGACAATCTCTTCAGACCAAGTGCAGAAGCTGTCTAAGTGATCAAATCAGGCGTAGTCCGTTTCAATACAGTCTGTTCGTGCTGTCTAGAGACTTCAAATCACAGTGTGAGAGTACACCTAGATCCCTTACGGAACTGATGGCATGCAGGGGGTGGTCGGCCAGGGCATACGCACACCCATTACCACCCCGCTCCAGTCTCATAAAAGAGGACTTGACTGGGTTGACCGATAGATCAACTTCTGCAGACCACCGGAATAGGCGGTCGAGGTCCTGCTGAAGGAAGTCACAGTCGTTGCGAGAATCAATAATCTTCCAAATCTCCAAGTCGTCTGCAAACAGTTCCCAAAGCGACAGAAGAAGATGAGGCACTTCGTTTATGTGGATCGGGAAGAAAATGGGCTCAGCGAAGTGGGGGAGTAGTAGACTGTTAGGTGGTCATCCACCTGTACCCATTTTCTCCCAATAAAGAAGTCACTGATCCACTGGTGTAGTGCGCCAGCAACACCACACATCTGCAACTTGTGGAGCAGGACCTCATGGTTCAAGTTCGAAAGCGGTCGCAGAGTGCAGCGCCTTAACAGAGCAGTTAACTGCTTCAAGCAAGGCCCCGGTGACTGGACTCAATTCAAAGTGAACAGCGATCCGGATCGAGGTTGCGAGCCACAATCCATTCACACAACGAGTGTGTGTCCGCGCCGATCAGTCAGTAACCGTTGTGACAAGAGTTAGATGCTGAGGTGGTGGCTTAGAGAAGTGCCCCAAGATAAGCGCACGAAGAAACTGTAACCGATGGGATAGACGCTGCTGGCGGCGGCTCACCCAAATTGTAGTGCAGTACAGCGTTGCGAGTTGGCAACTTTAAGACTTATTTTTGATGCGTAATTAAAGGTAAAATCACCGTCCAAGTCGTAAACTGTAATGGAGAAAAGTCCCTGCTTTGGTCCGGCGAACAGAACCTGAAAGATAAGGAGGAATCCCACTCTGGAGTCATAGACGCTGCATACTGTATCTTACTCATCTAGATGTCGAACTTGCGAAAATGGTGCAAGCGTGTGGGATTATTTGGAAGTATGATAAAGCTATAGGCTTAGAAACTAGTGGCGTACAATGATCAATGCGAGTTGGGTTACCTTAATACATCAAAGAAGTGTTCTCCTATACTGTACACCTTCCACGAAGACGAGCGGTACTGAGAGACCAAAAAGGCAAGCAGTCTATCGTTCGCTTCTACTGTTCCGCCGAGAATCGGATGACCATCGGAATTCTTGGACCAGCAACCGGGACAAACCACCGCGGGAGGATAAAGCACTTTCGGTGCCTCTGGGTCTTCGGTACTGTCACCAGCCAAACGTTTATTTACTCGGTTGTGTACTGCATTCAGCCATAAAATTTCTTCACGAGGCGTAGTTGGAGCCTTTGGAAGCAGCTTCACAACTTCGGGATCCCATTTGAAATCGTCAGGGCTTGGTGATTCGCGATTCAGATTCAAAGGATCCTCGCCAGGCCGTGCTATGTTAGCCGTGTTTGCGGCAAAGTGAAATGCGCATGTGCGGCAAGAAAACATTCGCGGCACAAAGCGATGTAATGCATGAGCAACCAGGTCCCCCGGTGTCTCTAAAAGTGTAAAAGGAGAGGAGCAGTCATGAGCTGGATGGTAATGGTAGTCTAAGTGATCACAGTTCGAAAAATACTCGAATGTACAGATAGTCACGACCGTAAAAGATAGAGGTAAACCGCATATTTAACACAGCACAAGGCTCATGGGGTAATTAAACTGGCAACTCTTTGGCACCTCCACTGCTATCAAGTACACCTTGGAGGTAGGTATGGACAGCTCGTTCCCGTTTTGAGTGAAATTGCCCAGACGCCAGATGAGGTGCATCGTGAAGGCAGAACGGAGTAGTTAGCAGAGAACAGAGCCTGTAAATCGGAAAGCAGAGATGTGGAACGAACAGGACGCAGGTACATGTGCCTGAGTTGGAACAACGAGGGTCACCCATCAATGTGCCGGCCTCATTCCTTGAATGTCTCCGTTGTTATCAAAGGCTTAGACCGCAAGTTTACTTTCCTGAATCATATTTGGTAATTGTGGGTGTCATGCAGATACGGTGGTCTGTCTTGCCCGAGACGTCCTAACTATTAGTTGATATAAGAACTTACTTAACCCAAGATAATAACAACCACGCAGTAGAAACCCAAGGATTACCAAGATAAAGTCAAGCCGCAAGATCATGCGGCGTTCGAGATATGTGACCATTTGTCCTTACCAGGATGATTAAACAGACACGAGTAACGCAAACGATACGTTGGTCCCACAACGAGATGCCTATCTCAGAGGATTCACGAAGACATCCCGGCGTGATTTTACAAAGGTGAAAAGAGGTCCGCAAACAGCTTAATCATGTCGCGCCTCCACACTGCACAAGCATTCCGAAAGCAACTTTTGTCTATTGCCAAGGTTATTTACATCCTCCATTTGAAGTCGATTATGTGTACAAAAACGTTTCATACGGCCGATACTACGACCGTGGCCAACTGACGTTGTTACTTAGTTATCCACTCGTGACCTTACCTAGTTACTTTAGACTGCTGAGGCTTATGTATTAATGCTTCTTTAGTTCACTTTGCTTGCCATCTATAGCCGTATTGTCATCGATTTTGACCGTTCAAACAACTTAAATTATCGTAGAAAGCAGAAGCGACGATTAAAGTCCGCACAATAACCTGCCTTGACGAGGAATCGAACCCCGGACCCACGGATTACCGATCCGCTGCTCTACCACTGAGCTACCGACGGCTGACGAGCAGGTGCGCATTTTAATACATGACTTCTGATTAGAAATTAATCCCAGTCAGATTTGATTATTTCCCCACACAATCAGCGTTATGTAAACGTTTGGGTCTGAAGAGAGTTTACCGGAAAGAATTGCTAAACTCTGAACTGATTTCTGGTCTTGATTCATGTCAATGAAGTGGGGATAGTTGCTTTGCCGAGGAACAGCATTTCCCGTGATTCGTTGAAGATTTAATGCAAAATTGTTCGCTGGTTGTCAAGCAAACTGAGAATAAAGTTAAAGCTGACATCATCAGTACGCTGGTACACAGTGTGGAAAAATCGTTAACATGCGATCACCAGCAGTTACGTGGGACGGCTAGAGTAGTGTTCCACCAGTCTGTATACCAAATGGATATAAAGAAGTGCTTTTTACAAAAGTATTGGTGTGAAAACACATTTAAATTACATTTGAAATATTGACAACAACTTAAGGCATAAAATTTTCTTCGAGTTACCGAGAATAATTTGTGTTTTAATGAACGGCTTGAGTTTTTGTAGAAAAGGGATAAATACCTGTTTTCAGCCGTAATTTCTAAATGTTTACTGTGGGTCCGCAGCATATATACTTAGTAAGCGTTTTGCGGCCGTGTACACCTACATCGTTCACTTTGGCAGCCGTTCATCCACCAAAAAGGTCCGCTTTTACCATTCTGCGTTCACCGCAACGGGGCACTTATTTGCGCTCATACATCAAACTGTTTTCTCTTAGGTAAACGCATACTGAACAATTTTAATTGCAGAAATGCCGTAAAGTAACATACTGTCACGGTTTATTGCAGAAAATTGGACATCAAACCCATATGTCAAGGGAAGTATGCTTTTCTCGTGTATTAGTTGAATTTGAATATTTGTGACACAGACTGGTGGAATGCTGCCAGCTAGGGATACTGCCATGTCACGCGTGTTTACGTAAGCCCGTACCGGTAACATTCGGTTACGAGGCAGACGCCTGAATCGCTATGCCACCGGCGGGTGAGCGTTAGAGCTATCCTCGCCCAAAGTTGACTAATATGCTAGCTGCGCATGCTCTTAAGTCTCCAACATAAGCGGCTGCGGGTACACGTGCAGTGGGACTGAAATCCGTCAACTAGGCAACGGCATGAGTTGGCAGGGACATAGTAACGTTTGAATGACAAACTGGCCCACTGAAGCGTGCATGCTTATGTAAAGATTACGCCGCATGACTGAGGCAAACATAAATTCGTCCGTAATTTAGAGCCGTTCAATAATAATAGTAAACTGGGCAAGTTGTCTGGACAAAAGAAAAAAAGGAAAACACATTTATAATTGGTTGAGCGAAAACGCCTAAACCGTTAAGTTCAGTAGTTCATAGAGGTCTCTAGTTTCACCAAGGTAGTGGTTCAGAAGTGACTGACATCAAGGTTCCTAATCGGAAACATGAAATACACCAACGCAATTCAGATTCTGCAGGTATCGTTACCAGCTCATTATCCATTCCTTACAGAACCACGTCCATGTACGGGCAGTATCTGTCAAAGACAGACGGTGAGGTGTGATTCTACAGAACCTGATCTATTGTGGGATAGTGACTTAGATTTAGGAGGTTATGAAATGTTGCACGAGGCAATCTGCTACAGAACGCCATTGGTGACATCAGCGTAAACACCCAATATTCTCACAGATATGTGGATCACAGTAAGCGTAAAAGATAAACAGTACTATAATGTAAACCCTGCAAAGCCTCTCAATAACGCTGGCTATGTTTTATCACTAGATATACCGTTTCTACTCCATAGGCTGATGTCTCGCTACCTGCACACATGATTAAGGGTATAAAATGTCACACAGGTTTACCGGTAGATACAGCAAAATGACACATCTACCTGTATGAGTACATCGGTAGGTATTTCAGTCAAATGTACCGTGAATATTTGAACCGGTAGTTTGCCGGGCAAATTTTGCAACAAAACACAAGGCTTCAGTGTGTGAGACGTCTAAAGGAGCTATATCGCTCTTTAACTTCCCGTTGAGTATAGGTTGTATACGAGCCCATCCCAGGCGGACTGCATCCTCGGAGTAATCCAAGTGTCTTGAAAATTCCCATTTAGAGTCAAAAGAACACGAGACCACAGGTGAACAATTGTTTTCGATGATTCTCTTTAGACCATTACAATCATATTTAAGGGTAAAATAATGAACTGAAATCGACTCATTGGGTCAAGTTATATAGTTAATTAACGGATCAGTGAGGGAGGCTAAAAGTTGACCATTGATCTGACAGGTCGATTGCATGTTATCGAGCTTGATCTGTGGCAATCGACCTCAGTATTGTTCGTTCTAGCTAGCCAGGGAAGCTATAAGGCCTCCCTCACTGATCCGTTAATTAACTAGGTAACTTGACCCAATGAGTCGATTTCAGTTCATTATTTTACCCTTAAATATAATTGTAATGATCTGAAGAGAATCATCGAAAACAATTGTTTACCTATGGTCTCGTGTTTATCGGTCAACAGGCAGAATATCCAAAAACGGTGAAGTAGCCATTGTGTAGCCGTACACGAACTTTCCAATCAAAATAATGAGGAACAATGGAGAAATAGGGTAATTTCGATGAAGCCCACATACAGAGGAAGACTTCCTGCAACCCAGTACATAAGCTGGAGAGCGGTACTACTGAGAGCACGAAATCTAACTAATTTGGCTGACACTATTCGGAGATAGACAGTGTAACGAACGCTTTTGGTCGTCTTGATCAAATTGCTTTAAGACAGATGGGAGAAGAGTAAAATACATTCTGCTTATATAAAACGACGTTTATTCAACTAGTTCCAGCAGCCCACGTTTGTTTGTTTCGTTGATTTTCGAGATGCATTTGACTCAGTTGACCGTGAAGCCCTCTGGAGAATCCTACTTGCCGATGGTGTGCCGGTTAAACTCGTTAACTTGATGAGTTCATACTACCGTTGCACGAACGTCCGGATTCTGGTTTATGGAGAAGAAATAAAGGAACACGATATCAATACTGGAGTCCGACAGGGCTGTCCACTTTCTCTAGTGCTATTCAACTTCCCATTCGACTGGGTTATGCCTCATGTCCTCGAGTGCTATCGGGGTGTTTAAGTCAGCCCTGACTTTTGGCTATCAGACCTAGAAGTTGCTGATGATATCGCTATGCTTGCAGAAGGTCCTATATCACTAAAGTAACTGCTACATCGGGTCTACCAATCAGCCTTTATGACCGACCTCAAAATTAACATCAGCAAGACGAAGTACTTATCGTCAGTCACTCAGTCCGCTCCATCGCTCAAATTACATGGACAACTCGTGGAATCTTTCTGAATTCAAGTATCTTGGATCCACTATTCTCCCCAATGGTTAGGCTACATCCGAAATCCGAATTCGTAATGACAGCATCAGGATAGCCTTCTTGCAACTGTGAACCACGTTGTGGCGAAGGACGGAAATTAGTCTGAGAACAAAAAGAAGTATTCTCAGAAACCACTCGTGCTATTGTACTCTATGCTTGCGAAACATGGCCGCTGCGGTCCGAAGACACCCGGAAGCTGGAAGTCTTCGACCATTGGTGTCTAAGGCTTATATTGGAAACGCACTGGCATGAGCATATCATCAATGACGAAGTTCTTAAGCGCTGTTACGGTCTTCCGAAGTTCTCAGCGCTCATCAAACGCCACCGACTTCAGTGGTTCGGTCACGTCCTCCGCAGACCGGACACTGACTTCACTAGGGCCGTGATTTCACCCCCATCCTGTCGGGGTTGATGTCGTCGCCGTGGTCGACAATTGAAAACGTGGCTCGCTGTAGTGAAATCGGATGTCGATCTTCTGGGATTCCAGATTGCATAGTGCTCGACACTGGAGAAATCTTTAGAGCAGTATCTGCGTGGAGCTTGCCGCTGACCGCCGCGCTTAGACAGCTGCAATCCGCGACATTCATGAAGTCGACTCATCCTGTCGCAGGAGCTAGCCGCAGTGAAGTAAGTTCATTCAACCACCTAGTGAAGCACGTGATCAATGCACCTTCTACCAGCGTAAAACGGGCAACTTTCATTGAGTGGATCTTTGTGGTCCATTAGAGTGTCACAGTATGGTACACGGAACCTGGACAGGAACGATCAAGACGACATTAACGTCTTGACAGATATCCCATGTCGCTCTATGGCATCTTTATAAGAAAGGAGTGGTGGTTTACAGTCGCCGGTTGGAAGGGATTTCCTTCTAGACACTCCACGGGATCAGACACCGTCTACGTCAGTCAATCACCGTCGTACCTCATCACCGATACAGGAAGCCTACCGGGATCCCACGATTTATTTCGTTCCACTGGTGTCGTTTCATGTTGCATCGTAACGATGATGGGAGACAAGAATTTACTCTCTAGTGGCGACCAGGTGGTCCAACCTATAGTGGGGACAAGGTGATCTAAATGAACTGTATTTGGAAGTGTTCCGCCAAAGGATTTATCAACTTCATAAGCAAATAGTTTACTTGCTCGGTTTTGGTTCCATGCTGCAGATGAGTCATCCTATGCAGAAAGAGCTGACTGTCTAAGTCATGTGCCAGTGTTAGTCATTACCATTCTCGATCAACCCTAACATGGTGGTGATCCGCTGTTTCAGAAGACTACGCACAACTGAAAACCAGTTATCAAGTAGAAGCATATTCCGAATCCCATTCAAACTGCTCAACCTCTGAGAAATCCACTCACTAACTGGATGTCTCAATATCGGTAGACAAACAAATTAGCAATGGAACCGATTGTCGGGTGAATTGTTGGGAGCGTATGATACAGAAACCGCAGCACTTCGGATACGGTCCTAGTGATCGGAATCAGTGAAGTCTAGTTCAATATAAAAAGACTTCCCAACAGTGACTGCGTGTCGGAGGGTACTCCAAAGCCTAACTTTGAACTCCTAACCGCTGGGACAAGTGTTGCATGGATCTCCGTGGCTTAGTGAGCAAGATGTCAGCAGTCGTTAACCACTAGGTCCCAAATTTCATTCCCAGCTACGGCTCTCTATCTGGATGAAACCGACCGTAGGGCACATGCTTTGGAGTGTGCAACAGCAAAGCATTTCCAATTGGTAACCGCGTTATCGATAAGTTGAGAAAGTGGTGAGCTAATGGATAGCTAAGTATGCGCCACCACTTTCGGTCACCTAAAACTTATGCACAAGTATGTCGGGTTTCATAATGCATGTGCCCATTCTTCATGCACAAAATCTGTTCGTAACTGCATGGAGCGCATAAGCAAACCAGAAGGAAAAAGTACAAGCAACCAGATTGGCACAAACCGCTTTCGGTTCAGTGAGTAGACCAAAACAAATTGGATTAGTAAACGATTGACGTCTTCCCAGACACAGCAATCCGGTCGGATGAAACGTATCTACTGTATAGTGGTGAGTTTAAACAGCCTCTCTATGTTGATATACACAGGAGTTGATGATAGGTGGTTAAATGCCTCAAACGAAACCAGCGTCACCCAACCTTGGTAAAAACACAGTGGAGAAGAGCCAAAGGGAGCTGGGAAAAACAGCATACTAAAGCTCACTTCATTCGCCTTAATGCAAAATTAAAATTGTGCAGCGATCAGTGTAGCTGTCAGGACCAGCAGAAAACCTGGTGAACCCATCGCCTATTGTCCGGTAAATGCCATCCCAAAGTGACTAGATTTGATGAAAGGCGAGCTAAGGAACAAGTGATGTATTTGAGAGGAACCAACAGTGTTTCATTACTGAGCACGGTGGTTCGGTACGGGTAAAAGAAGTGAAATGGACTTACTAGCTAAAGCTGAAGCCAATTCAAAATGTCGCACTGTAAGACTGTGGAACAATAGCCAGAGGCCACAAGTGTACCCGCGGTATCCAGGACTGCTACCCTTGCAAGCAACGTGCTCACCTCGGTAGACGGGAAACTAAAAATGGGGGATAAGTGGAGAGAATGAGCCGGTGAAGTAACAATGTATACTGACGTAGTTTATCCAAATGAAAATCGAGTGACTAGTTTCTACGGATTTATCTACGCACATTGTATCCGAGGATTGAGGCTACCCACCGTTACGTTGGCAGCTACGTGCGTTTCAAAAAGGGACAATGTTCTGCCTCACATATCCTTCCACCAACTAAAAACGTACACAAAGCGATGTGGAAATTTAAGCTAGTTTTGATTTGCAGCGCATACATTTGAACTGCAAATGAGGAAGTTAGGCTTCACCGTTCTAATCACTGTGGAACTCAAGCTGAATAAGTGCATGATCACATTACACAAACACCAATTGTGTATAGCTGCCAAAATCCAAAACATCACCAGTGCCTTTTGTCACCAGGTCAACAGAGACTAGAGTAATAAAACGGTCTAGATGTAATCGGTAAGAAGAAGTAAAAACCAGGCTTGTTCGGTGTTACGGAGACAAAAGAAAGCCCGGATTAGCGAGTAGAGTAGAATGCACAATACTCCCAATAAGTTTAATAAAGTTTTCGTAAATTTACTTGCAGCAACCGCATAGGTTATAGAGGACAATAACAAACTTACAACAATGTTTGTGCTGAATGGGCTGTTGGGTAAGAGGTCCGAATGAGGTGACGCGACAGGTAAGCAAAGTCATGAGTTAGAGCAAGTTATAGGACGCAGCACCTGCAGTGCTGCCACACTTAGGTTAGCCATAAGCTTCATTCGCCACTTACCCCAAACTTCTCTTTCGGCAGCATTAAAATTGAATGCTCGTGGTTTTATCATCGAGATGTCTAGGAAAAAATTTGCTTCAGACACTTCACAAGTTTAAAACTCAGTTATTCTGTAGCACGTGCGGTATAATAAACCAGGAGCTCGATGAGGATGTGTGCACAAAAAGGGGTTATACACGGGTTCTACTCCATGGAGAGCTAAACACCAGCCTAAGGTACAGTACGGTTTTCTTAGACGGAAACCACAGGATCCGCCAGAACCGGCAGTAGTCTTGCATGCGGCTTGTCACTCCTGACTCTCAACTGTCGTGTGACCCAGGTATTACTACAATAACTTTCACATAATGAGTAAAAGTTTTATTGATACGTTTCCGATAGCTCTTTTGGTATGCGAAGAGTTTCCAACATTGCACACCGACACCGACAATGTACTCGTTCGAATACCTCAGGTATGCTTGAAATGCCTAATATTTGTCGTTTATTTATATGGTGGTTGAGGCAGCGCAGATCACGGGGACTAGATCCACCGGTCCTTGGCACACGGATACTCTCTCAGCTGTGTAGGGTACTAGATAATGATGGATTATGATCGCAATGCTTCATGATCGACATTCCAAATCCCACAAAATTTCGAAGGAGTCCTTGCTATGCCCAAATTTACGCACCAACCATCCCGCTACAACGTGCGAGCTTAGACAGCAGATCCCTATGAGGCATACGGTAGGTGATTGCAGCACGTGCCTATGCCTCTGTGAAGCGCAACGGATTTGGTCACTATTGAAATGCAACAATGCGCCGTTGATGGAGGTGACTCATATTAGTTAGATATCGAAGATATCGCCAGTGAACAGCAACCCTTGGGCTTGTAACAGCGAGTAGCTTATTTTATAGTTCACACACATGTTCCCCAGTTAATGTACCAGCAAATAAGGGTGGATCTACTGGCCACAAGTAAATATTGGTCCTATTTCGAACAGTGTTGTTGAGGCGTGCGGGCTGTATCAGAGGGAAAAGGTAAGAAGCAGTTGAACAAAGACCGCCCAGTTTCTCGCAGTGTAGGCCGACTGGGAACTAGTTTCTCACTACGGAAGTACAAGTTGATATCACAAGGGTGAAATGGGTCATAAGGTTGAACACAATTGAAATGCCGGGATGTTCTGAACCATAATCCCATGAGGCAAACGCAACCGTTAAGCACAGAAACGCAGTCAAAACGAGGTAGTTGAAGCCACTTCACCACGCAGAACAAGGTGAAGTGGTAATCTACCAGTGCATGTTGCTGGTCATAACACATCGTGAACGGTTGTCCATCCCAAACAGAAAGAAGCGCTACATAACCATTATTATTATTATTATTATTATTATTATTATTATTATTATATATTAAGGAAGATACCACAAAAGAGTACCGAATTCAAACCAGGTTGTCAACACTCAGTACCATCTGATCAAATGCAAACTAGTAACATGCACAATGATCAATGAAAAACATCAATGATTTAACCACCGTTAGACAGGAAGAGAAAACACGTAAATGTAAGGTCAAAACACAGGGATACGATTTGTGAAATGACTGCCACGATGCCCAAGGAAGCTTGAGTGTGACAGCTACCTGTTTTTGTACGCAATGGTCTGGACGATCACGGTTGATGGTTACGGCCCCAGAGAGCTTGAGTATTTTGGCATTTTTATTGCGATAGATAACGGTAAATGCCATGTTAGAGTCGACCTGATGGCCAGTAGTGATCAGCTGTTTAGCGATCGATGATGCTGGTACCTTGGAGGTGGACACCCATCTCTGTGTATCAGCTGTTAGAGTAGATGGCTTGCTGAACAACCTCCTCGTGATGCAAGTTGGCTGGTTGGGGATTATCCCGTTCCAGAAAATCGTTCAGCGGCAGTGTTCCAAGACGTGGTGGGTTTTCGTCTGGGAAGCGACCTCCCTATTAAAAGTCACATATGTCCGTTTAACAACACTGTGACGTGGCGGATGTGACACGTCACTAAATAAAGTCACTGCCCCTTGCTTCACATTGGCGAAGCAATTTAATGCTGCAATTGTGGGGAATATAGGCCCCTGTTTCGCAAACGAACAATTGTTATGTTGCCACCATCTAGGTTGTTTTTCCTATTAAAGCTGCGTCGCACTGTAATGTTGTCATCTACCAAACGAAGCACCTTTCACTCTCATTGTAGTTAGCGCCAGAGTCAGTTGCTGGTAGAATCTTCGCTTCTTTCTGAAGTAGTTTGCTTACAGGGTAAGGCTTCCGGTCAAAACAACTACTGGGGAAGTTACAAGAACGCTTGCCATATTCTATATATATCCCGTGCAAACTGATGTCTATATGTTTGGATAATTCTTTGCCAGATATTGAGGCTTTATTCATTTTTACTGGTAATCCTTTTCTAGCCGTTCCTTACGCACCTTGATACTATTGTTTATGTTATTTTCTTCCTGAGTCCACTACAAACTGGGACTTCGGAACGTGTTTTAATCGATCAAGGAAGTTGGATTGCGCGTCAGTGTGAATTTGAAATAATGGTTCACCCACGAAAGTCCCATTTCCGCCTTCTGGTCAGATTGCGCTGGTTCAGATCGACGGGACATCCGTTAATGGAGGATATAACCCCAGCACAATCTTCTGCACTTCACCCTGAACAACGTGCATGTGTGAAACTGACATGGATATAACATAATGCATATTTCCATCTAATATGTAGAGGGGACTAAATCAAAAAATGTAAATATTTTGCTTTTTCCCTATGTGGGAATATTTTCTCGCATCGCCGAGATTTATTTAATTATGTATGCAACTGGGCAATCAGTCACCGGCTCCCAATGGGCGAGATTCCCCGAATTCGCTCCGCCGACTTGCGGGCAGGCCATTCGGTCAAAGGCTCGATGTAATTTCTTCAAAGGCAACCGGGTAGTATCAAGCCCTCCTCCTCCGCGTTGTTTTTTAACGATATCTGTACCTTCCTTTGAATTCCATTGTTTTTGATGGCTCCATGTTTATTCGTAGGCTATTATATATATATATATATATATATATATATATATATATATATATATATATGTCGGCCGGTGGCCGAGTGGTCTGCACGTTTGTGCCCCTTGCTGAGGCTGATGTTGCATTCATGAAGCTTCTTCACCGCAGTTGGGCTAAACCAACGTAGAGTAAACTAGATTTTTTAATGTGGATAAAATTCGTCACATTGTATTTGATTTGTTCTGCGTACTTGACAATCTTCTCCCAACTTGCACACGTCACTCAGGTAAATTGTGGTAAACTTGCGTAATTGTATTGCGTCATATTTTTTAAATAACTCGGACATTTTGTACTTATCACGGATTCACTTATAAACAATTGCTTCTATATGCTCATTTAGCGAGTATTTATGTCGTCATATGCATTTACTTTATCCGATATCGGCATTTTGAGTGCTTAGCTGTTGTTTGACATCGTAAGTGTCGCTGCGTTTGATGTGCATGTTTACAAGGTGCCTACCTGTCTATTACCCACAACCTCGTTCATACTGGCTCCAGGAGACAGTTGGTCGTTGTTGGAGGGGGCGGGGAGCACGGTCCTTGTGGTCGTGCTAGGATCGAAGAGTGGTTCCATGCAATCAGTGTGGAGCGGACTACGGTCCAGCCACCGTCTTGTGTGCACTTGATTCCCCAAATACAGTGTGCTTGTGTTTGCCTGTGAGGGAGTGTGGGCCGGCTCCGTTGATGAAACGTGGCTCCCATCCACATGCCTCCCGGTCTTATTCCTTCGGGTTTACACTGGATATGGGGTGTGTGGATGGAGCTGTGGGTGGTGCAGAGCAATCCACCCATGGTTCCTCTGTAGGCGCAGGCGTCCTGCGGCTGGCCACAAGGACAGGCAAATCCGAAACCGGATGCCGCCAACCATATATATATATATATATATATATATATATATATATATATCTGTCAGAATAGCTGCAAGCCATTTCCGAATATGCTCTCTGATCCGCTTCCGCAAACACCGGTCAGTTCTGCCAATGTAACTGCCTGCATAGCTACAGACAAATTGGTAAATACAACGTGTTGTAGCGGAGATCGGTTGTGTTCCCTTGATCGGGGACGTTGGTAACTTCTGGGTTGTCCAAAGCGGACACAATCTGAAAACAATGAATGTTCGTCGAATTGCAGTGGGTATACGTCACGCAACGCGTTGATACAACATATCCTTTGAGTGGTAAG